AAATCAGAGACGTACTGCATCAAAAACGCTTTATACAGAAATATCTGTATTTTGTATTCTTTGTAAAATTCATTTGAGTGGAAAAATCATGTATAACCTGTTATATCTTTTACGTTATTTCCCTTCAAAATAGTACGGGAAGTTATGTTTCATTTAAACTGAAGAAATTGGAAGATATCTGGGAGTCAATTGATAATAATTCTTGTATTAAAAGATGTCCTCGAGTTTGGTCTAATTCCCATTTGAGCTAATTCCTGTTTGAGCTACATTTTTCAATTGTTAGTCTGTATTAACTAAGCTGTGTTGATCATAAGATATCGTTGTAAAGTGTATTGTTATGCTATCTGAATTTAAATTACTATTTCTTATATTAATTTTAAATTTAACTTCAAAAATTATTACTTAATAAATTTCATCATTCGTTTATACTTCAAATTGTTGTAAGCTATTTTTTATTTATAATTGTCCATAACTTTTATTATACTTTGAGATTATTTTATTTTGGTTTAACATGACGTTTTATTCAACTATATTTTGTATCGGTATCATTCATGCAGTTCATATGATATTCATTCTTAAAATTTATTTACTTTTTATGATGAATAATTTCAATCAATATAAATCTATACTTGGATATTGATATATTTCGTCAATTATTATATCCTTTACTTGGTTATTGATATATTAAATCAGTTATATCTTTTACTTGGATATTGATATATTTCACCAATTATATCTTTTACTTGTGTATTGATATATTTTACCAATTATATATTTTACTTAGGTATTGATTTATTTCACTAATTATTTCTTTTACTTAGGTATTGATATATTTCACCAATTATTTCTTTTACATGGGTATTGATATAATTCACCAATTATTTCTTTTACGTGGGTATTGATATATTTCACCAATTATTTATTTTACTTGGTTATTGATATATTTCACCAATTATATCTTTTACTTGTGTATTGATATATTTCACCAATTATATCTTTTACTTGGTTATTGATATATTAAATCAGTTATCTTTTTATTGGTTATTGATATATTTCACCAATTACTTCTTTAACTTGGTTATTGATATATTAAATCAGTTATCTTTTACTTGGATATTGATATATTTCACCAATTATATCTTTTACTTGTGAATTGATATATTTCACCAATTACTTCTTTAACTTGGTTATTGATATATTAAATTAGTTATCTTTTACTTGGATATTGATATATTTCACCAATTATATTTTTTACTTGTCTATTGATATATTTCAACAATTATATCTTTTACTTGGTTATTGATATATTAAATCAGTTATCTTTTTATTGGTTATTGATATATTTCACCAATTACTTCTTTAACTTGGTTATTGATATATCAAATCAGTTATCTTTTACTTGGATATTGATATATTTCACCAATTATTTCTTTTATTTGAATATTGATATATTTCACTAATTATTTCTTTTACTTGTGTATTGATATATTTCACCAATTATTTCTTTTACTTGGATATTGATATATTTCACCAATTATATCTTTTACTTGTGTATTGATATATTTCACCAATTATTTCTTATATTTGAATATTGATATATTTCACTAATTATTTCTTTTACTTGTGTATTGATATATTTCACCAATTATTTCTTTTACTT